GGGGTGGGGCGGGGCGGGGGGGCGCAGCACAAATGCGCGTGGAGTTTCCGCGCGTGCATGCCCGCCGCAGCCTGCATGGGCACGGCCCCGGCCCACACCTCTGCCACGCATTTCCAAGATGCTCTCTGCAACTAAAATTCTGTTTGGCCCCCCCCCAGGAGGACTTCAGTAAGGAGGATTTCATAGCTGAGTACTTCAGGTGAGGGTGCAGGCTCCGCCCGCAAGGGGCGCGGCGGCGCGACACCGGCGTGCTGCTGAGCGAGGCCACCCTGCCGCGCCCATCTGTCCTTCCCAGGCCCTTTTGGCCCTGCTGGGGCCCTGCCACTGCCATCCGCCGCCTGATGCTGGCACCTCCAACAGGGGCGAGGGCGCTGAGCGCAGCAGGGCAGCGGCGCGCGCGGCGGTGCAGCGGCCCCGCCGTCTCGTGCGCGGCGTGGCGCAGATTTGCAGCCACATGGCTGATGCATCCCGCGCACTCGCGATAGAGTTCGCCGGCAACCTGGTCGCCCCCACCCCCAGGGGGCTGAGCGAGAAAGCGGTCGACAATGCGCGCCAAGACCTGGGGGCGCTGCTCAGCCAGTGCACCGATGAGGTGCGGCCCCTGGCTGCGCCGGGGCGGCCAGCGCTGGCAGCGCCCAGCCCGGGAGCACGCAGGGAGGCGTGTCCTCGACTGTATAACGCTTCGGCGGCGGGTGCAGCCGCAGCAGCTGAGCTGGGTCCCAGCCGCCTCAACGGGATGCACGCCCTCGCCGGTGCTCTGCACGCCACCTGCGTGGCCAGGTGGAGGGTGTTGTGTACGAGCACCACCAGCGGTTCCTGGAGGCCTGCAAGGGCGTCGAGGACATAGAGGACCAGGTGAGGCCCTGATCTGATGCGATCTGAATTAGTCGGGTCAGATCTGGCTGCAGGTATCAGGGTGTGCAGCCACAGTCAATTTTGTACCCCTGTGCATCATTGACTGAGCGACGCGCTTTAAGACTGAAGTAAAAAGAAGTCGGCTGCGTGCGCTGCGCGTTTGGTTTTTGAGTTGGTGGCTTTTACAGGCGCAGCTATACATCCCAGGGCTCTCGACCACAAGTGGTGAAAGGAGCTCGCCATGGCACCATCGCAAAGCCTTCCCGCCTGTGCCTGTCCCGTGCCCAGGTGGCGCTGCTGCGCAACTACACCAACGGCCTCACAGCGCTGGTGCAGAACCTCAAGGGGCAGAAGCAGCTGGGCAAACAGGTGGGGGGCGGAGCCCCTGGGGATGTCAGGACTGGCTTGCAGGCCAGGGGAATTGTGTGAGAGAGTGTGCGTGTGTGTTTGTGTGGTTTGCGTGTGCTGTTTGTTAGTGTGTGTGTGTGTGCGTGTGCGCGTGTGTGTGTGTGTGCTGCTGTAGGGAAGCAGGGAGTGGCAAGGTCTGCTGATGAACGTCTCGCCCGCATTGCTGGAGGCGAGTGCACGACTCTCACAAGCGACTCTGGCCTTATCGACGCGTTGCCGCCCGACCCATGGACAACAGCCACCACCGCACCACCGCCTGGGCCCCGCGCGGCCCCGCACGCCCCTGCGATGCTCCCTCCCCTCTAGGTTGCGCAGGCCGGCCGCGCCGCGCCCCTGCCGGAGGCGCCCGACCTGTTCCCGTCAGACGATGACAGCAGCAGGGTGAGCATCCAGCTGTGAGCAGCGCGCAGTGCAGCCAGGCGTCAGCGCAGCTGGGCAGGCCGAGCAGCAACGCGTGCAGCGGGCCCGCTCACGCTCCAGGGGCTCGGGCCAAACCCCCGGGCCGCCCAGCGCCCCGCTCACCCTGCAGCGCACGCGGCGCCCTCCAGCACGACGCGCCCCGAGGTTTGCCGCGCGGGACCGTGCGCCCCAACCGCGTTCAACGCGTGCACCCCCAGGTCCGCGCCATCGAGTCTCAGCTCGAGGTGCTGCTGCGAGAGCTGGACGTCGCTGTGGCAGTCAGGGACCTGCCGACAGCCAGGTGAGGGGGCGGCAAAAACAAGCAGTATCGAGCAGCCAGGGCTGCCAACTGCCCGGACAAGATCACATGCCAGTCTCCTCACGTCCCTGGCGCAATCACACGCCCGGCTTACATAGTGTCGCGCGGTTTCAGGCTCGCCCGCGCCGCGCCGTCTCGCGCGGTGCGCGGCCTGCGTTGAGTGCGCGACCCTCCGCCTTCCCGTCCCGCCCGGCCCCTCCTCAGGGCGCTGCTGGCCGCGGGCGAGGACTGCCTGGCGGTGCTGGACCGGGACGCGGGGGTGCTGTCGTTGGAGGTGGGCTTGGGGGGCCAATCTCGGCCAGACGGGTGCGACCCCCCCCCCCCCCACACACACACACACACACACGCACTTGAAAGAAAGCCTCCGTGGCTTGTCAGGGGCTGAGGGGCGCAGCTCGGCCTTTCGTGTCTAGCGGCACCAAAATGGTCCACTCATGCGGCTAAATGGCTGCCGCGGCGCTCATGGCCGCTGGCTTGTCCGTGAGGGGCCGCTCAACCGCCAAACCACGTCTGTTCCCTGGCCCCGGGCGGCTGGCCGCCGCCATCCCCGGTCCGTCTCGCTGCGCGCGCGTCTACGCATTCCTCTGGATCGCGCTCTGAATTGCGACCCTGTGGCCTGTACACTTTGCAACCATGGATCCCAAGCCCTGGAGCTGGCGACCCTAAAAGTGCCTGGGGCAAACGGCCTGAGACCTTGACCACCCCACCCCTGAGCCCCCAGACCCTGAACCGTGCCAGATGCATGTTCACCCATGGCCCCCCAGGTGGAGGAGTTCCCCTCGTGGCGCCACCATGTGGAGAGCGCCATCGCGCTGCGCAAGCGCACGCTGGCGGCGGCGCTCGAGAGGCAGCTGGCGGACGCGCACGCCAGCGGGCCGGAGATCAGGTGGGTCCTGTGCGGCGCCCCGGGGCCGCGCCTCTCCTCTCTTCCTTTTGTTCACGGCCAACGATACTGCCCGCCTCGGATCATCGAGGCTGGGCTGGTTGGGCCGCTGGGCTGCGTCACAACGCCGTGGCGGGCGCGGAGGTCGCGCAACCGCTTACGAAGCAGCTGCTGGGGCCCACCTCAAAAGTGTGTGCATTGCAGTGCTACAAAGGGGCCCCTGAACGCCCTAAACACAACCTCGTATGCACCTCCACACCCCAATCAACCAACCAACCAACCCACCATCGCCTGCGGCATCACCGCGGCCAGGTCTGCAACGCGGGCGCTCGGGCAGCTGCTGGGCGACTGCCACGCGGTGGCTGCCATGCTGCACTGCTACAGCAGGAAGGTCGGGGTGCATCAGGCACAGCTGCTCAAGCAGCTTGCGGCAGGTGCGTGTGCCTAGTTGGGAGTGATGATGATGATGTGTGTGTGTGTGTGTGTGTGTGTGTGTGTGTGTGTGTGTGTTTATGTAGTAATGTGAGATATCATGTGTATACGAAAGAAGATTATGTGAGAGACAGAGCAAGAGTGCATGCGTGCGTGTGTGCGTGCATGCGTGCGTGTGTGTGCTCACGTTGCACGTGTGTGTATATCAGTACGTGTGTATGCCAACGAGAGGAAGCTGGAGGAAGAGCACATACGTCACTCACATACCCACACGCACACACGTGCACACACATACACGCACCCCAAACACACACACACACATGCACAAATACACCCCTCCCAAAAACACCACACTCAGCATTCTTCCCTCAAATCCCGTTTGCTGCCACGCGCACGCCCTTCATCGACCCCCCGAACCGCGCCACCGTGTCAGGTGGCGCCGACCCCGACAATCTGGAGTACGCCGGGGCCCTGGTGCAGCGCACGCTGCTGGAGGTGGGGCGCGCCGCGGACGACCTCGTCACAATCTTCGGCGACCAGCAGGTGCGGCCGCGGGCCTCGCAGCCGCTGACACGCTTGCTCGCTTCAAATCAAGGCGCCCCGAAGAGGCCTCCTTCGTGCCTGGTTTGGTCTTTAGTAGCTGAGTGACAAAGAGGCGTTTGCAGTTGTGTCGCTCAGCTAGGCTGGGCGCGAGCCGCCACGCTGCGTGCGTGGCGCGAGGCAACGCCACCGCCATCTCCCACCACCTGCCGGCCCTGCACACGGCAGCACGACGTGGCGTCGCTCTTCAGCGTGTGGGTGGCGCGGGAGGCACGCGGCTGCGCGCAGGCGCTGAAGCGCAACGCGCTCGCGCCCGCTGCGGCGGCGACGGGCGGCCCTGCGGCGGCCGTGCAGGTGTGCAACTGTGCGGGCAGCTGTATGAGTGTGTGTGTGTGTGTGTGTTTGTGTATGTATGTATGTGTGTCTGCCTCTGTGTTTGTGTCTGTCTCTATGCGTGTATGTGTGTGTGTGTGTGTGCGCGTGTGTGTGTGTGTGTGCGTGTGTGCGTGTGTGTGCGTGTGTGTGTGCGCGCGCATCCTTGGCGTCTTTCTTGAATCCCCCTTGGCTTCGCATCGACGCCCCAAAGCGCACTGCAGCGAGGACCCGCAGCTTCGCATGCCATTCTGAAGAGCGCGTCACCTCACGCACCCCTGCCTCTCCACCCCACCCCACCCTTACCCGTCCCGTCCCTCGTCTCCCCCATGGCTCATGGCGCCAGGTGATTTCCATGGCCATGGTGTTCTGCCGCGAGCTGGAGGCCACCCACACGGTGTCCGTCACGCCCGCGTTCAGCTCCGAGCTCTGGCCCTCCCTGGATGGTGCGCACCCCTTCGTTGCTCCCTGGCAGGACAAGCCAGGTCTTCCTCCACCAAATGCACATGTTATGCGGCGCCCCTGCCCTTGCTCGCGCGCGGCCTTGCCGCTCGCCTCGTGAACGGGACCGGCGAGGCGCGCCGCGGCGCGCCGGCGGGCGCTGCTGCCGCGCGGCCTTGCTGCGGTGAACTTCCTGAGCGCCTGACAAATTTCAAGCGGCACAAAACGCAGGCGCACTGCGGCGGCACGTCAAGCGCTTCCAGGACGAGCTGCGTATGGTGACGGGTGAGAACTTCACGGTGCAGTTCACGCCCACGGGGAAGCATGCTCCCGGCTCGTTACACCCGATTTGATCAGCGCGCTTGTGCACCAGGCATGCCAGGGGCCCTCACCGGCTTGTTGACTTGATGGATAGAACGGACATGCGGAAATGTGCATGCCTTCCAGCTCCTAGGCTTGGACCCACGCTTGCAGACGCGCGCACCTGCCTCATCCTCTCCACCTGGGCCCCCTTGAATTGGGATCATGTGCTCGCAGCTGCTGAGGTGGACGACTTGGCGCTCCAGGCGGTTGCTGACATCATCAAGCGCGTCGCGCCAGACGGGCCGCCGCAGGTGGGCATTTCCATTTTTTTGAAATCAAAGCTAGGGGGCGAGAAGGTAGGTGTTGCACCGCTCGAGGAGTTGGCCGCACCACGTAAAGGTCGAAGACTGCAGCGGTGGTTGAGGTTGGAAAGCAGGGCTCAGACGGGCGCAAAGGCCGGCCCGCGCCGCCTGCAGCTGTTGCGCAGCAAAAAAATGCGTCCCCGTTAGCAGTGAAAATCCTTGTGTGGTGCCGCGCGCAGGTTGGCGCCGAGCTCGACATCGACTGTTGGTCAGACGTCCCCCTCCCTCTCCCCTGCTCCTCAGCTGCGTCCAAGGAGAGAGCGAAATGTCCCACTCCCAAGCGTTTCTGGGTTGCTGTATCAAGTGACTCATGTGCTGCCTTGCCCCACACAACCCAGGTGACGCTGGTCACCCCGTCCATGCTGACGGGGGAGCTGAGGTCACTCGCAGAGCTGATGGCCCCTATGGAAGGTGAGAGGCGGCCATGGGCGTGGCCCAGCGGCGGCTGCGGCGGCATGGCCAAGCCCATGCGTGGTGGCGGGCACGGGGGGCAGCGGGCCCCCGAGTACCGGAAAAGCAAGGTTCTTGCAGGGGGGTCAGCCTGCCTGCACACCTGCGCGGCCCCAAGGCAGGCAAGGCTGCGGCCCACGCCTTGCTCATTTGACTGTGCGTGCAGGCCCCAAGCTAGCGGCGTCGATGCGGCGGATAGTGAAGGAGGTCTTCGACGGTTATGTGCAGGTGTGAACTTGATGATGAACCCTTAGTCACCAGCGTCACCGACTCATGCGCCACGCCTCATCCGCCCGGCTGCTCGCTGCGGAGCCCTAGCCCGCCCAGTCCGCGCCCGTACCATCGATAGGGTATCCACCACGCTCCCGCGGGCGCTGGCGGCGCGCGCATGGCCGCCCATCCGCGTGCGCCGACCGCCCCCTGCCTCGTTGCACGCATCACGCGCCGGGCGCGCCAGTCACCCCCATCACGTCATCGCGCGCGCCCGCGCCCGCGGCGCCCGCAGGCCGTGTCTTCTACGCTGCAGCGGCACATCGAGGGTGCCCCCTCCAACGCGCGCAAGCTGCAGCCGATGATCGCGCCACTCATGGAGGAGGTGGCCGCCCTGATCGAGGACGGCATCCCCGCGGCGCTCGCGCCGTTCGAGGCGCGCGCGGGCCCCGTGACGGACGCGGAGGACCTGGAGCGTGCGCTGCAGGAAATGTATGCGAGCTGCACGGCGGCGTGCAGGGGCGCGGGCGCGGCATCCCGGAGGTCGGCGACCCCGCAGGGGTGACACAGGCAAGGATTACTAGTCACCGCGGCGGGGGTCGGCTGGGCCTAGTCCGGCGATATACGCGACTGCCGGTGATTAATACCCGTGCACTTGGTGGATGGCGCGTGGGGAAGCGTGGTGGGTCCCTGAAAAGGAAGGCAGAGGGCCCGGTCTTCGCACCTGTGTTGGTCGCGCGTTCTCCCTGAACAGAACTTTGCTTAACCCGTGTTTGCCAGTCGTCGCACTCATTTGTAGCGCAAAAAACCCGGACATTGGGACTGTGAGCTGCGCCTGGCGCAGCCCCGCGGGCATAGCACCTGCTACAAGATACTCATTGATAACAGCAGTTGTCGAACAGCTGGATAGCCCGGAGGAGCCCCTGGGAATGGGCTCGTCGTCGTTGCCCACTGGCATGGCAGGGGCGGCACACGGCGACCTTGTGGCCGACATAACGGGACCGAGAGCAGTCGTCAAAGCGGCTGGCACGGATGAGATGGCGGGTCTAGTGCAGCAGATCATTCCCAAGGTGAGGCCGCTGGCTGGACGACCTCCGGTCTCGGCAGCCCTCCTCCAGTACGGCTGGAGCTCACAACACTACCGTGAATGACGCAGATCTATGACTGGGACTTCAACGTGTTCGACGTGGCAGGGCGGAGCGGCTCGCGCCCGCTCTTCGCGGTCGTCATGGCACTGTTGGAAGACCAGGGCCTGCTGGTGCGCGCAGCTGCGCAGCAGTGCGGCGTCCGGACTTGTCGTACATAGTGCCACGCTTGTTCAGAAAAGGCGGCAGATGCGTGGCGAACGGGGGCTGCAGGGGAGCTGCATGGTCGCAAACCCCCGGATCGGCCCTGAGCTTCGCGCCGGAGCGCATCCGGGGCTGCATGCGGCGCCCGCGCCTGGCCGGCGGCAGGCCGCATGTGCGCAAGGGGGTGTGTGCTCTGTCGTCACCGTACCCCAGGCGCCCGTGCCGCTGGCAGCCGCTTCAACAGGCGGGCCCTTTCCCTCCCCTTGAACAGGATGGCTGGAAGCTGGACAGAGCGACAGTGGCCCGATACTTTGAGGCGGTCGAGGCGGCATACAACAACAACCCATACCACAACAACACGCACGCCGCCGACGTGACGCAGACCGCGGCCGTCATCATGCGCTTCACCCACGACTTCCTGGCAATGGCGACGGCGCCGCCGCAGCAGCAGCAGCAGCTGCAGCAGCAGCACCGTGCCGTGGTGGGCGTGGCGCCGGCGCTGGCGCCGCTCCCGCCTACGGCAGAGGAGGAGGAGGAGGAGGACCGGGGGCTCTCGCGGCTGGAGCGGTTCTGCGTCATTTTTGCGTCCGCCGTGCACGACCTCGGGCACCCGGGGGTCAACAACGACTTCCTTATTCGCACGCGCGACAAGCAGGCAGTGATCTACAATGACAAGTGGGTTGACAGCCATGGGGCCAGAGATGGCGGCGCGCGGGAAGGGCGGGGGTATTCGTGCATCAGCTGGGATTGGGCCGCAGCGGTCGGGGGTGTGGAGCCGACAGAGTGCTGGCAAGCACCGGCGGCAATAGCGCCCTAGCCGCCCGCAGGCTCCTGCAGCGGTGGGATGCCCCTTCGCCGCATCTGGGCGGCGGCCCTCCGCCTCTCCCCTTCCAGACCCCACATCGCGGGCTCATTGTGCTGGTGCCTGCTGGGCAAGCCGCAGCGGGCTTCCTTTGCCCCTCTGGGTCGGCCATACACACCCGCTACATCACAACTGCTCAACCCACCCTCGCCCGCCAGGAGTGTGAACGAGAACATGCATTGCGCGCGCGCATTTGAGGTGGCCCTGGAGGCCGAGGGCTGCGACATTTTTGGCCGGTTCAGCGCGGAGGAGTACGCCAAGGTGCGCGCGTCAGGGTTGGGGGGGGGGGTGACGCCGGTGCGGGGTGTGAGTTCACAGCGCGTCTGTTTCTGCGCAATCGTGCATGTGCGCCGTGTTGTGTTTGCATGTGTTGTATGTGACATCAGGTAGAATGATAGGGAACGCAGGAACGAAAGCATGAAAGTCTATGGAAGCAGACTCCCACAGCAGGCGGCATGCCAGGAGCGGCGCTGGCAGGAGCGTCGCCGCCAGCGTTGCGTGCGAAAGAGGCGGAAACGCCCCCAGGCGGCCCGCCCGTGCGTCGCCCGCCGCGCCGCGCCCGACGGCGCCCCGCCCGCCGCGCCCCTCGCCCTTTGCTCGCCCGCAGGCGCGCTCCCTGATCGTGGGGATGGTCCTGTCCACTGACATGGCGGTGCACTTTGACCTGCTCAATAAGTTCAACGCCGCGCTGGAGGTGGGGACGCCACTCGCCACCACGCTTGCCGCCAGCGCGTGGCGCCCGTGCAAGCCCCGCCGCCTGCCTCGCGCGCTCGTCCCCGGACCCCTCTGGTCGGCGGCATCAGCATGCTCCCCCGCCCCCCACCCCTTCGACCCCAGGCGTGCCCCGAGCCGCGGCTGTGGGGCGACAAGGAGCGCGGCTTGGTGCTGCAGGTGCGCGCCTCCTGCCCCTCCAAACCCCGCACTCCCACCTTGAAGCCCTTCTCATCGGCGTGCGCCGCATCCCTCGCTGCCGCCTGCGCAAGCGACCTGCCCACAGCCGCGCGAGGCGGGCCCCGTGCTCCCCGGACGCGCCCCGACCTGAACCCGCCCCCTCTGCTTGTGCGCGCGCTCACCCCTCAGATGCTGGTGCACCTGGCTGACCTGGCCAACCCCGCGCGCCCCTTCTTCCTGGCTGCGGCCTGGGCCGAGCGTGTGGTCACGGAGTTCCTGCGGCAGGGGGACGCGGAGGCGGCGCGCGGGCTGGGGGTGACGCCGTTTTGCGATAGGCACAAGGTCTGCATGCCGGCGGCGCAGCAGGGCTTCGTGAAGATGTTTGCAGGGGTGAGCTGGGGTGAGGCTGGGGAGGGACGGTGAGGGGGTGGCTGAGAGGGGGCGGCGAGGGGGGTGGCGGAGCGCGCGGGCCGGCTG